AGAACAGAACAGAATAGAAAATAGAATAGAATATAGAATATAGGATAGAATAGAAAAAGAATAGAATAGAATAGAAAAAGAATAGAATAGAATAGAATAGAATAGAATAGAAAATAGAATAGAAAATAGAACAGAACAGAACAGAATAGAAAATAGAATAGAATATAGAATATAGGATAGAATAGAAAAAGAATAGAATAGAATAGAAAAAGAATAGAATAGAATAGAATAGAATAGAAAATAGAATAGAAAAAAAAGAATAGAAAATAGAATAGAATATAGAATAGAATAGAAAAAGAAAAGAATAGAATAGAAAATAGAATAGAGAAAGAATAGAAAATAGAATAGAATAGAATAGAATATGGAATGGAATAGAATAGAGAATAGAATAGAGAATAGAATAGAATAAAATAGAGAACAGAATAGAGAATAGAATATAGAATATAGAATATAGAATATAGAATATAGAATATAGAATATAGAATATAGAATATAGAATATAGAATATAGAATATAGAATAGAATAGAATAGAATAGAATAGACTTTGGAGGTCATCTAGTCCACCCTTCCCCAACCAAGCAGGAGACCCTACACCATTTTTGACAGATGGCTGTCCAGTCTCTCCTTGAAAGCTTCCAGCGATGAAGCTCCCACAACCTCTGAAGGCAAGCTGCTGTTCCCTTCGTTGGTTGGTTGTTCTCCTTCGCCTGCTATCCAGCCCGTCCTTCAAACATTTTAATTAAATACTTCTCGTCCAGCTACTAGTCTAATCAATCTTCCCGGACTTATAAAATCCTGACTGGGCAGCGCCCGAGACTCCCTCCCTTCATCCTTTAGATTTGCATGAACGTTGCCTCATTTGGTGTGCGCTGTGCACACTCCCAGGAAAACACGGCTCCTCTCTAGAGCCACCGTCCCCAGGGAGTGTTTATGAACATTGTGCGCGACACAGCGGCATCAGCCGCCTGCGGGCCGAAGAAAAGACTTGGTTTCTAGCCACCGACAAAAATCATCTTAACTAATCCCGCGTGCACTGGAAATGGGCTGCCTCCTTCCCCCAGCAAAGGCCTGGCACCAAACAAAACATATTCCTTCAACGCAACACACAACATAAATGGGGACACTCCATGGAAGTTCCCCTGGCTGGATGAAAGTTTGTGTTCGGCCATTGACAATAGCCTTGGGCTAGGGATTTTCTGAAAGGTGGCTGGCTGGCAGAGAACGGAAAAGTGAATTCATTTCATTTTTGCCTGCTCCTCAGTCAAGAGGGCAAGGATCCTGAGAACTGATTCAAAGTTGTGAGGCGTCTCAGGGGTTGCGTAGGACACACAAACCGCTTGCAGGGGACTTCTGCTTGTTTGTGGTGGGACGGTTAGTCTGACTTTAGATGGATCGCTTCACCGCACCTGCGGTCATCCAGAGTCACCCCGTTCTTTTCATATCACTGCTCCGAATATTTGGGGTCCCTCTCACCCTAGCCTTGCACAAAATCTATGGTTTGCCCCTTGTGTTAGCCACGATCCCTCTCTGTGACGGCCCAGAATTACGTCCTAATTCATATGTCCTGTTTACATGTGTTAATCCGCTTCTTTTGAGTACATGGGGCCTATCTATGGTTTGCCCCTTGTGTTAGCCACGATCCCTCTCTGTGACGGCCCAGCATTACGTCCTAATTCATCGCTCGGTTTATATGTGTTATTCCTCTTCTTTTGAGTACCTGGGGCCTTTTCCAGGCAAAGAGGGAGCCTGTTCAAAAGTGCTGTGCTGTGCACCATGGGTTACTTTGAGCAAGCTGCCTGAGAGGACAATTTTTGATTTCTACCCCTTCTGGAAGCACTCTGCTATTTTGGGAGTGCTTGAGCCGCTGAGGGGGCCCATCGCTGATTCTGACATGCGAATTTGGGAGCCGGGTTTAAATTCAGAATTTCCCCAAAAATAAAAAAAATGAAAATGAAAAAGACTTTAGGATCTGCAGCTGACTTAGCCGTGCCAGCCTGCCTGCGGGTCCCTGTCAAAAGTAGAGTTGATAATCGGATGAAGGGCAGTTTTAAAAGCCTGTGCAGATATGTCGAGACAGCTGAATCGATAATTCACACGTTAGCACCCCCACGAGAGATATTTCTCTCTCTCTCTCTCTCTCTCTCTCTCTCCTGCGTTTTTAGTCATTTTGATAGAACGAGTAAATAATTATCCAGGGAGCGAATCCAACTGGGTGTTTTTTTCCCCTCCACCCAGTTGTTTCAGAAATCTGGAAAACAGACAGGAAGTTGTGGAAAATTTAGTTCTGCGGCGTCCCATCCAAGAAGAACAAGTTTCCTTCCTCTTTTGCTACCCCAAAAAGACTTAAAAGCTATAAATGCAGTACTTAAAAGCTATAAATGCAGCTTTGGGGTGGGTGGGTCCATAGTTACTGTATAGATTACTTTAAACTCGCTTTTGCAAACTGAAGGGGTTTTAGTTAGCGACCGACCCGGCCCTTTAATTCTCTGCAAGGGTTTCATTTTGTTTGTGGAGGGCGGCTGTGATTAAATACGCAAATCAGTCACCTTCCCCAACCTCTCTCTCTCTTTTATTTGAGTTTCGGTCTAATAATAATAATAATAATAAAAATTATTTTTCGCGAAACCTAAAAAAAATTGCCGGACGGTTTCAGTCTCTCAAGGAACGCTCAAAAACCAGACCCAGAGACTGCGTCGAGGTTGAAAGACGAGATACGAGGGGAGTTTACTAGGGGGAGCTTTTTGGTCAGGTGGGGACATCCTCCTGCACCCCTCCCCACCCTGGCCAGGGCTCCCCCCCTCCCTTCCTCCTTTCTTTTAAGCAGTCCTTTAAGTTAGTTAATGGGCTGTTTTCTCATTCTGCAGCGGGAACTGGGAGAGCCCGGAGGTTTTTGAATGGGGTGTTTTTTTTTTGTCCCCCCTATTGAGGCTGGAGTGGACTTGGGGGGTTTGCAGCTGTGCCATGCCACTGAACAATTTGAAGTGCGTTAAAACATTTCTTTTCTTTTTCTTTTTTGGCAAAGCGGTTCTTTTCTTCTCCCGGTCTGGAAAGGGCGAAGCAAGTGGAAGATTGGCATGAGGCTCTGTGTTGTGTTTGTGTGTGTGTGTGTGTGTGTGTGTGAGAGAGAGAGAAACTGAAGATGCAAATGCATTAAAGGGTGGCAAAAAGCAAGAGGCCCCTTTTTTTTCCTCCAGCCTCCCCCTACCACCCCCCACCCCTTCCCAGCTCACTTTGTAAACGAAGCAAGCTGAGATCCTGTGTGAGTGTGAGGATCTGGGTTTAAACGCCCCGCGATGCGACGACAGGCTTGGATCTCGGGAGAAGGGGACACGTATTGCCTGGCGGGTTTCTAAAGGCACCAACCAGACCCTTCGCTATTTAATTTATTTTGCCGTATTTATTTTGTGTTTGCATCGTTTTTACAAACACAGAGAGCCCTTGGCATATGTGGCCACCATCCAGCCCCCAACAATTTCCGTCGTTAAGCGAGACGTTTGTTAAGTGAGTTTTGCCCCATTTTACGACCTTTCTCTGCCATCGTTGTTGAGCGAAACACGGGACGTTGTTAAGTTGTGGCACGGTTGTTAAGGGAAATCTGGCTTCCCCCCCCCCTTGACTTTGCTTGTCCGAAGGGGGCAAAAGGGAATCGCGTGACTCTGGGACGCTGCAACCGTCATAAATACGAGTCCGTTGCTAAGCGTCTCAGTTTTGATCACACGGTCACGGGGGGGGGGGGTGCTACAAAGGTTGTAAGTGTGAAAATTGGTCCTAAGTCACTTTTTTCAGTTGTAACTCTGAACGATCACTAAATGAACTGTTGTAAGTCGAGGATGGCCTGTAATTCAAGGTTAACCCGAGGTGGTGAACGTATGTAACCCTCCTTCTTCCTCCCATTTTCCCTACAACGACAATCCTTTGAGGTGGGTGCAGCTGAGAGAGAGAAAGGGACAGGCCCAAAATCACCCAGCTGGCTGTCATGCCTAAGGCGGGACTAGAACTCATCGACTCCTGGTGATTGGCCCAAAGTCACCCAACTGGCTGTCATGCCTAAGGCGGGACTAGAACTCACTGTCTCCTGGTGATTGGCCCAAAGTCACCCAACTGGCTGTCATGCCTAAGGCGGGACTAGAACTCACCGTCTCCTGGTGATTGGCCAAAGTCACCCAGCTGGCTTTCATGCCTAGGGTGGGACTAGAACTCACGGTCTCCTGGTGATTGGCCCAAAGTCACCCAGCTGGTTGTCATGCCTAAGGCGGGACTACAACTCATCGACTCCTGGTGATTGGTCTAAAGTCACCCAGCTGGCTGCCATTCTTAAAACGGGTCTAGAACTCACTGTCTCCTGGTGATTGGCTCAAAGTCACCCAGCTGTCTTTCATGCCTAGGATGGGACTAGAACTCATCATCTCCTGGTGATTGGCCCAAAGTCACCCAGCTGGCTGTCATGCCTAAGGCAGGACTAGAACTCACCATCTCCTGGTGATTGGCCCAAAGTCACCAAGCTGGCTGTCATGGCTAAGGTGGAACTAGAACTCATTGTCTCCGGGTGATTGGCCCAAAGTCACCCAGCTGTCTTTCATGCCTAGGGTGGGACTAGAACTCACCGTCTCCTGGTGATTGGCCCAAAGTCACCCAGCTGTCTTTCATGCCTAGGGTGGGACTAGAACTCACCATCTCCTGGTGATTGGCCCAAAGTCACCCAGTTGCCTGTCATGCCTAAGGCAGGTCTAAAACTCACTGTCACCTGGTGATTGGTTCAAAGTCACCCAGCTGGCTTTCATGCTTAAAATAGGTCTAGAACTCACCATCTCCTGGTTTCTAGCTGGTTCCTTCACCATTCGACCGAACGGTTAGGTCCCTTCCGGGCCATATGCACAGCAGTGCCATGGAAGTTGTGCCCCAACGATGCCTCCTTAGATGGTTGAGGAGGAGAGCAGACGGGGGGGTCTTTCCCCTGGACATGGTGCTGACCGTCTCTTCCCCATCTTTGTGCCCCTAGCCCTGAGCTGCAACGAGAACGACGGCAGCCCCCTGGATCGGGACCAGCACTACCCCAGCAGCCAGAAGACCAAACGCATGCGGACCTCCTTCAAACACCACCAGCTGCGGACAATGAAATCCTATTTTGCTATTAATCACAACCCAGACGCCAAGGACTTGAAGCAGCTCGCGCAGAAAACGGGTTTAACCAAAAGGGTGCTCCAGGTAAGTGATTTGAGGGCCTCAAAGTGGAGCAGGGGTCTTTGGCCAGCTGATGGAGGATACGATGCCCAGCAAGCGACGGCCGTGTTTCACAACCGTGAAGGTGGGCGAACCTCAACTCCTAGAATTCCATTCTGGCTTGGAGAATTCTAGGAGTTGAAGTCCCTGAGATAACTCCAACCAAATTTGGCTTTTTTCCCCTCAGACAGCGAGGATGGACAGGGGGATATGTTGGAAATATTGGCCTTGCATTCTCTCTGTCTCACCTGTCAAAGGTCCCAAAGATGCTTTTTTCAGGAGGCAACTGGACTTTCTTGTTTTTCTTTGAAGACGTTTCGCTTCTCATCCAAGGAACTTCTTCAGCTCTGACTGGATGGTGGAGGATGGAAGGGTTGATACTCCTTGCACACCGCTGGTCATTCGCATCATTTTAGGGGGTCCTTGAGGCCATCTGGAGATGAACTTGTGTCCTCAGGGTCCCCCCGAGTGGTGCAAATGGGTGTGGAGCCATCTTGGCACTGGCAAGGAGTATAAATCCTTCCATTTCCCACCATCCAGTCAGAGCTGAAGAAGATTCTTGGATGAGAAGCGAAAAGTCTTCAAAGAAAAACAAGGAAGTCCAGTGAAAAAGCACCTTTGGGACAATCATGACCTCGATGACGGAGAACGTCCATCGTCACCTATCAAATGTTGGAGGAGAAAACAGCCGTTGTTCTCGCTGATAGAGCACTGATGTGATCAACAATGGGACATCCTTCCTGAGGACTTCAGCTTGGTCAACTCTCCTCTGTTGTGGTCTAGAATGCTGCGCTTTGCCAAATAATTTTGTTTTTGAAGAACCAACTTTGGCAAAGCTAGGGATCCCTTAATGCGATGTAAACAGCATAACAGAGTTGGAGAAGTATTATTACCGCTTTATAAAGCCTGAGTGAGGCCACACCTGGAATACTGTAGCCAGTTTTGGTCACCATATCACAAAAAAGATGTTGAGAGTTTGGAAAAAGTTCAGAGAAGAGCAACTAAGATGATCCAAGGCCTGGAGACTAAAACATACGAAGAATGGCTGCGGGATTTGGGTTTGGCTAGTCTAGAGAAAAGAAGAAATAGGGGAGACATGATATCAGCGTTCCAGTATCTGAGGGGCTGCCACAAGGCAGAGGGGGCCAGGTTGTTCACCAAAGCACCAGAGGGAAGGACGAGAAATAATGGATGGAAACTGACCAAGGAGAGAAGCAACCTGGAATTAAAGAGAAACTTCCTGACAGTGAGGACAATCAACCAGTGGAACAGCTTGCCTCCAGAAATCGTGGGTGCTCCATCACTGGAGGATTTTAAGAAGAGACTAGACATTCACCTGTCTGAGACGGTATAGGTTCTCCTGCTTGAGGAGGGGCCTGGACTAGAAGACCTCCAAGGTCCCTTCCAGCTCTATTCTATTCTAGTCCAACCCCCTGCTCAGGCAGGAAACCCTATTACTGTTGATCCACTTTGATCTTGACTGGACAATGAACTCCAGTAGACCATTATCTCCTCTTCTGATGAAGGCCAACAGCTTTGGCCTCCGACGAATATGTTGGATGGAGGGTGTGTGTATTTATGTTACATATATTTTTCAGAACCAAGATTAAACTGGCTACATCTGCCCTTTGCACGATTCTGATTCACTAAACTGCCCTTTCACGGCTGAATTCCCGTGGTTGATGGTTCAAGCATGGTTTATAAGTTAGGTGGCAGTTTGTTTCATATGGTCTTAGCAGATTTCCTGAACCTAGGCATCGTGGTTTATAAATCAGGATTGAGTGTTATGTGAATGCAAGCAGATGTGGCTTGCTGGACAAACTACAGGTAAACCGATTTCAGTCGAACGTGAACCTGGTCATGAAATGATCAGCTGACCTGGCTGTTTTGTTACTGCTCTTTAAAAAGAAGCAGGAATGAAATTCACAGATCTGTAGAATTGTTCCGAGATGAAGAACGGCTGCAGGACTTGGGCTTGGCTAGTCTACAGAAAAGAAGAAATAGGGGAGACATGATAACAGCATTCCAGTATTTGAGGGGCTGCCACAAAGAAGAGGGCAGGAGAAGAAAAAAACAGATGGAAATTAATCAAGGAGAGAAGCAACCTGGAATTAAGGAGAAACTTCCTGACGGTGAGGACAATTAACCAGTGGAACAGCTTGCCACCAGAAATCGTGGGCGCTCCATCAATAGAGGTTTTTAAGAAGAGACTAGACATTTATCTGAAATGGTATAGCTTCTCCTGCTTGAGCAGGGGGCTGGACTAGAAGACCTCCAAAGTCCCTTCCAGATTCTATTCTATTCTATTCTATATTCTATATATTCTATATTCTATATTCTATATTCTATATTCTATATTCTATATTCTATATTCTATATTCTATTCTACTCTTCTATATTCTATATTCTATTCTATATTCTATATTCTATATTTTATTCTATTCTTCTATATTCTATATTCTATTCTGTTCTGTTCTGTTCTATTCTATATTCTATATTCTATATTCTATATTCTATATTCTATATTCTATATTCTATTCTACTCTTCTATATTCTATATTCTATATTCTATATTCTATATTCTATATTCTATATTTTAGTCTACTCTTCTATATTCTATATTCTATATTCTATTCTATTCTATTCTATTCTATTCTATTCTATTCTATTCTATTCTATTCTATTCTATTCTACTTTATTGTGTTCTATTCTATTCTATTCTATTCTATTCTATTCTAGATAACAGGGCAAAAAAACAACGGATTTCAAGCAGGATAATTTTGGTTGGGCATCAGGAAGACCTTTCAGCAGTGAAAAACTGTTCAGCAATGAAATAAACTACCTGGAGAAGCAAGAACAGAACATGGAAAGGTGGAGAGGTGGAAAGAGGAACTCCTTTCTGAGGTCCTTTGGCTGGTTCTGTCCAGTTTTTGGGGTGTTTTGGGGAAGATGGAGGACCCTCAGCATATTCTCAAAAGCCAAGTGTGCCTGTTGTGCTGAGGAAACCTTTTTTTTATTTTTTTTGCGTTTTTGCCTAGCGTTATGTTGATGGAAATGATGACATCGTTCACTGGACTTTAGACCAGACTGTCATCCAAATGTACAAAAGTCTGTTGAATTCTGAAACATTTTGACGTTCCTCTGGCCAACGGTGACGAATCTTGGAAAGCTGAGATCCTCAAAACATGAACATGGTGAAGAAATGGGGATTTTTGCCCCATGGCTTCTGCAAGTGCTAATTTGGGGGGAAAGGTTTACAAATATTTGCCACGTTGACCGACAAGTCCCTCGAAGGCAAAGGTTTTCAAGTCCGTTCCAACTTCCACCAGCTTTAACCTCCCCTTTGCGTTGTACAAATGAAGTCGTTTAATTTGGGTGCACCTCTTAATCAGCCTGAATTAACCTGCTTGCAGATAAACCTCAAGAGTTTTTGCACTGAGCTATAGTTTGGAACAGAACAGAGCAGAATAGAACAGAATAGAATTAAGGAATAGAACAGAACAGAACAGAACAGAACACAAAAAATCGAATCGAATAGAATCGAATAGAATAGAATAGAAATAAGGAATAGAATAGAATAGAATTAAGGAATAGAATAGAATAGAATAGAATTAAGGAATAGAATAGAATAGAATAACAGAGTTGGAAGGGACCTTGGAGGTCATCTAGTCCAACCTCCTGCTCAGGCAGGAAACCCTATACCATTTCAGACAAATGGCTGTCCGGTCTCTTCTTAAAAACTTCCAGTGTTGGAGCATTCACCGCTTCTGGAGGCAGGTTGTTCCACTGGTTAATTGTTCTCACTGTCAGGAAGTTTCTCCTTCGTTCTCGGTTGCTTCTCTCCTTGATTAGTTTCCATCCGTTGCTTCTTGTCCTGCCTTCAGGGGCTTTGGAGAATAGCTTGACTCCCTCTTCTTTGGGGCAGCCCCTGAGATATTGGAAGGCTGCTATCGTGTCCCCCCTATTTCTTCTTTTCTTTAGACTAGCCAAACCCAAGTCCCACAGCCGTTCTTCATATGTTTTAGCCTCCAGTCCCCTGATCATCTTTGTTGCTCTTCTCTGTACTCTTTCTCATTTACAAATCATCTTTGCATACTAATGGCTTGCTGTGGGCTGAGTTCCCATCATATGTCAACGAAACAAAGTTTGTGGTTTAGAACTTCCTCTTTTGAAATACTGGAATCTGGGATCTTCCCGGAACCTGGATAGTGGGAAATCTTGGCTTTCTCTGTATGGTGCGTTGCTGAAGGAGGTCATTGATCAGGTGGCTTTAGAAAGCAATATTTCCTGGACGAGGACCCTCTGCCCTCAGTCGTTCAGCCCCTAATCTTCTCACGACTGAACTACTGTATTGCGCTTTGCATGGGGCTGCCCTTGAAGACCATTCAGAAGCCACAGCTGGTGCAGAGGGCAGCAGGGCGGGTAGTTTTGGGCCCCCCAAGAATGGCCCCTATAGCATCACTGTCCCCCGAGCTGCTTTGGGTACCAGTCTGCTTCTGGGTGTAATTCAAGGTGTCGGGGGTCCCCTTTAAACCCTTCGTGGGAGGGGTCCTGGTTACCCGAGGGACCGTCCCACCCCACTGGGATCGGACCCTCCTACCCGTGCTGGCAGAGGAGGCCTGTTGTGGGTCCTGTCAGACTGGTTATTTCAGCTGGCGGGGGAGGGTCCAGGAGGAGGAGGGCCTTCTCTGCTGTGCCCCCACCCTCTGGAACATCTTGCCCCCCCTTCTCGATGTGAGGTTGGCCCCCAACCTTCCTATCTTTTCATAAGGGTCTAAAGACCTGGTTGGGCCAGTCGGATCGGGGTCCCAGTGGGGGATCAGCGCAATGGAGGTGGTGGATTGAGTAATAACAGATTCCACCTCCCCCCC